TCACGAACAATTTCTAAAAGAACAAAAGTAACACACAAACATACCGTCAGCATACTTCGTGAAACTTGGTGACTGTGTTCCAACATCCAACATTCTGAAATTTTAATCATATTTGTAAAGAGGATTCGAATTGGACTGTCTTGGCAAATGGGTGTTTATAAAAAGAAATACAAATACCTTGCATAATCCACAGATAATGCTGGATATTAAAAACAGAATATAACTCATTGATGTCACGGATGTTCGATGCACGAAAAAAGGTACATATTAAAGGAGTATCAGCTATGAAACAATAAAAATTTAAGTCTTATCATATGAAAAGTTCACATGAATGCACACTTATCGTTTTACACTAAACACGTGAAGTTGTCCTCACAAAAACTGCAAAGTGCAAATAAACAAACAGCAAAAGATAAGATAAAGACTAATATTCACTTTCATTACACATCATAAGAAGTGATCAAAAGAAACATTTAATTGTTATCGGCATTAAGCCGTCATTTGACATCTCATCGAAAATGAACGGAATGAGAGAATAGAAATTAAAAATGAACACATTTTTGTTGCATTGCGAGTTGGCGATACAGACACTTGGTTGAGTTTTGCTTCGATCCGTGACAAAATTGAGGTGGACGTTTGGTTTACGGGTGGATGCCATGGTTCTTGAGTGATTGCGTTCACCTTNCCGTGACAAAATTGAGGTGGACGTTTGGTTTACGGGTGGATGCCATGGTTCTTGAGTGATTGCGTTCACCTTCCGAGGCACTGCACTCACGTTCCTCATTGCGAACGCTCGTAACCTTAAACAATAATAAACACTCTCATAAACATGACACAACAAATTTCAACAAGCAGCACTAAAGAATGCTGAAGCGAACGATATGAATGTGTTCTCGATGACACAAAATTTTGGACTGTCACAGAAATAAATTTCTTCTTTCGAGCCACATCAATTCGGCAATCTTTATTCCACCAACGCATTCAGTTTGAATGAAAATTCAAAAATACGGCAACACTTTTAGTTCCAGTCGGACCAATATCGTGACAATGACAGGTTTATGATAATGCCAGCACATACCTCAAAAGCTTCTTCTCATGACTGCACAACTCCTTCCCATTTATCTGCGTGTAACTATCATCATCTGCGACAACAATTTTCGACTGTGACAAATAATTCAACACACTCGAATCGTTTCCTTCCGATACTTCGTGATTTGTTGAGGCGTTCACGCTGCTATCATTCGTCTCTTTTATCTTTGCTGCCATTCTGAAGCTTACCATTAGTGACTATACGAAAGTGAATTACTTTCAACACGAATTCTCAGGTGATGTTCATCAAGCCGAATGAACACATTTATCATTATGCGATATGTTGCACAAATCATTAAAATGAACTGCTGCAAAAAGTGACTGGCTGATCGATAAACTGAAACAAATGGAATGCGAATGTATTTACTATTCTATTCGATCACCTAGCTATCATCACATTTCAATGGACCTGACTGCTAAAACAGAATCTCAAGAAACATGCGACTGCATGTACTCACTGCTCACCNATTTCAATGGACCTGACTGCTAAAACAGAATCTCAAGAAACATGCGACTGCATGTACTCACTGCTCACCTGCTCCGTGCTAGCAAATCATTGAGTTTACGTTGCAATTCAGCCACTACTCTTTTTCGGGATATAACCGCTTTACATACATTTCTCGCTGTTTTCACAACACACTGCTCATCTTCAGCACTCAGTACGGGCGCACCACTGAAAAAAAAAATAAATTGGATGCATCTCAATCAGCCATTGGAATGAAAACATATCAGATAGTAATGTACATGATGAATTTGTAGGTTAATGAGATGGATAAAATCAACTACCGTCTGTGCGAACATTCATATTCCACATTATATGTGCGAAGAACGAATTGATTTATGAAATTGATAAAATCTTTTGATAAAATTTTTTCACTTTGCCTAAATGAAACACAAACACATCGAAAAACGAATTGAATGAACAGAACTGAATCAATGAGTTGTGGGATGTGGATGGAGAAGTGATAAACGAACCCGCGATTATGCGCTGATGCTCGGATGGACGACGTCGACATACGATCCAACTGATCGTTCACCATTTGAACTTTTGAACAAATTTTTTGCAGACTCCTTTCAAGCTTATTTTGACGATACGACTGAAACAAGATTATCAACGTTAATCAGTTAACTTTTAGTGATTTGAATTTATGACGACGAGGTGACTTTTCAAATAGATTAATTGAAACAATTGTACGGCATAAAACAATTTTCGCACATGTAATATGGAAGATGAACGATTTTTTTGGGTGAACAAAATTAATGCAATATAAGTCGCTTTATCATTATGCAACGATAAAAATCGCAAATGAAGCACACCTCAACAGATAACTTTTCATAATATAAGACAGTAAAAGAG